TTTACATGTTTCTTCTTCTTTAGCTTCCCCCATTTCAACAGGATCTAACACTTTAAGAGCCTCCACGTATTTTGGAAGTTTGTACAATTCACCAATGTTAACTTCCATCAAATCAAAACTTATACCCACATATCCATGATCATCAGTAAATATTGGCACTTTAGGATATCGTTGACTAAAATGTGTCAACAACAATGATTTAGCGTTCATCCTACAAAAACATAATAATTAATAAAATAATTAAAATTCATTATAATTTGTGAAATAAAAATTATTTGCTTATTTCTTTTAATTAATTAACTAATTTAATCATTATTAGTTACCTATTACCAACTTGAACAGCCTCTTCCGTAGTACTATGACGTTTAATTTTTGCTTCTTGTGCTAAATCATTTTCAAATGTAGCCTCGTGGATTAACAACGTGGCATTTTTACCAAGACGTACAAGTTCTTCGCATGGTCTTGTATCTCCTGAATATCTAATGATAAATATACAAATAATAATTATTTACTGGTAATGATAAAGAAAACAATATTATACATACACAATCTTCCAATTATCAGTATGTTCTATACATAACCCATAAGATGAAGGACAATGAATTACTTCAACTGGTAAAAGTTCTCGAAGTTTTAAATTGTCCATCAGCTCTCTTATCCTGATGAAAGTGAGGAAGCCAAAGAAGAAGAAACAGATGAAGAGGATATTTAATATTAACATTCCAAGAGTTATTTTTTTGTAATGCTGATTATAATAAATGCTTATATTATATACTTAAATTTCTATGATTGTTAATTGTAATTATCGCCAGAACTATTTGTCAGACACACTACTACTACATGCACAGTCGAACAAATCCCGCATAATAATGAGTTCTAAATAAAAATCTGTCCGAAATTTTTTTCCCAAAAATATTTCTGATTCAACAGATATTTTGACATGTGATCTGTGTTTAAATTTTGAATGTTAAAATGCAGATTTAAGTGAATCAAATAATCGGTCTTATACCAAATCCAAAAAATATCGAAATTCTTGACAACAATGTATTTCGTACTATCAAAAAACATCTTGACGAACAGAAGATCGAGTAAAATTACAAATTATGTCTTAATGAAATTAATTGATAGTATGCCAAGAATAATAGAAGCTTTCAATGAAAATAATGTGTGGAAACAAAGATATTGGCTTTATTAATAGATTTTTTATTGCTTGAATTTCGAGGCTAAATTTTCAAATCCCAAATAGCAATAATATTCTTTGGTGTCACGATATTATAAATCGCATGACTCAATCACTTGTTGATCAGTAAATCTTGGACCTATCAATTACCCGGCTAATATTGACCAATTAGAACGAACTTACTACGGAAGTCATGTGATGC